TGGACTCCCATTGTATAATATAAAAAAGTATATTTACTTAGCATTTCATAGATGAAAGGTTTGTGTTATATCTTTCAAGGTTTAGCTTAAATGCAATTTTATTCATAACTCTTCTAGACAAATAACTACTATATCATATACACAGATAACCTCAATAGTTATTTGTTCATGTGATTTCTTATTCTGTTATGTATGATCTCCCAAGGCTCATTGCATCTATTAGGTACTTAATAATTATTTCTTGAATGAACAAAAGTTTACCTGTATGTGGTCAATCAGTGATACGAAAGACAATGAATAAAAAGGAGAAGCGAATGAGGCTCTTTCCCAGGGGACTTATGGGGGCACTTTCAATCTGTACTCCCTCATCTTCCACTCCCAAATAAGTAGTACTTCCCAGTGTGCCTCCTTCTGCTGGATTATATCATATGGGGCTGTGGGGCAGGGAATGTGAATGGAGGGAATACCATAAAAGGGGAGGGAGGTAGAGATATGTGTAGGAGAGAGTCCATTAGGCACAGTAGAAGCAATTGAAAAATAGATTTTTATCATCAGGAATAACTACCCTGTTAAAGTGTTCGCATGATTAAAGTAAATCTTCTTTTAGTGATGATATCTTCCTATGTATTCTTGCTCATGGGTAAGACACACCTTTAAGCCTTTTGCAGACATCAACTGGATAGTATAAAACCAGCATCAGTGATAATTGACAAAGGTTATTTGGTAAGAAATTTGAAAATTATTAAACTATGGCCCTGGTTCCCTTTTATAGATGTGCATAAATCTCCTTATATTTGTTGCTATCTGTAACAATAGTGGATAACAAAAATTTAGCTCAGATTAGGGGTTTCTGGTAGGGTTCCTTTTTATCAGAATAAATCCCTGTCCATCTCAGAGTTGTTGCTTTGGGTTTTTTTATTTGTTTTTAAATCCTCTCCATTTACCTTAGAAATATCTACTTGTTTTTTGTAGATATTTATTCTGGTGAACCTAATCTTGTATTGGAAACACAAATACCTTTTCTACCTCTCACCTTTGCCTTTCTCTGGGTCTTTTATGAACACGATCCTTTGAATTTTCCAGAGTTTTAAATATTATTTTGGCAAAAAAATGGGCTGTGGTTCTGAGCTTAATCAGTGTTTTATTTACTATCATTACAGTCATTCATTTTCTCTTATCATTTTCTCCTTTGGAGTCTTCCATTGATTACCTTATA